ACCATATAAGAATAAATAAACAAAATAAAGGTATTGTGTCCATCTACAACCAAAACATACACACACACACACACACACACATTAAGAAGGTAGTACGCCATGATCCAGTGGGCTTCATTTCAGGGATGCAAGGTTGGTTTTTATACACAAATCTATAAATGCAATTCAAGTCATAAATAAAGTTAAGGACACAAATCATATAATTCTCTCAATATTTGCAAAATAAGCATCTGACAAAGTCCAGCCACCATTCATGTTTAAATCTCTAGAGAAACTAGGGATAGAAGGAGCTTACCTCAACATTGTAAAAGCAGTATATGACAAACACAAGGCCAACATCATACTGGACAGAGAAAAATGGGGAACATTTCCTCTGAAATTAGGAACAAGACAAAGATGTCCACTCTTACCACTCCTATTCAACATAGTCCTTGTAACTCTAGCCAGAGCAATCAGTCAAATTATCTCTATTTGCTAATGACACGCTCTTATATCTAGAACTGCACCCCCCCCACATACACACACACACAAAAAAAAAAAAAAAAAAAAAAAAAACTCCACCAGAAGACTTTATAGAGCTTATAAACAAATTTGGCAATGTAGCAGGATATAAGATCAACATACATAAATCAACTGCTTTCCTTTACTTCAATTGTGAATCTGCTGAGGAAAAAAAAATCAGGAAAACTATCCCATTCACAATAACCCCCAAAATCAAAAACAACAGCAACAAAAGACTTGGGAATAAATCTAACCAAGGAGGTGAAAGACCTCCACAATGAAAACCACAGGATACCAATGAAAGAAATTGAAGAAGACCTCAGAAGATGGAAATAATTAATATTATCCAAGTGGTTGTACTACCAAAAGCATTATACAAATTTAATGCAATCCTCATCAAAATACCAATGCTATTCTTCACAGAACTAGGGCGGGGGAAGGCCTAAAATTCATTTGGAAGAATAAGAGGCCCAGATGAGAAAGCAATCCCGAGCAAGAAGAGCAATGCTGCAGACATCACAGTATTGGACCACAAATTATACTATAGAGCTATCGTAACAAAAACAGCAAGGCATTGGTACCAAAACAGACACAAAAACTAGTGGAATAGAATAGAAGACATAGAAACAAATCCCCATAGATAGAGCCACCTGATACTTGACAAAGGTGCCAAAAACATACCCTAGCAAAAAGACACCTTTTTAACAAATGGTGCTGGGAGAACTGGAAATCCATATGCAGAAAAATAAAACTGGATCCCTACATCTCACCCTGCACAAAAGTCAACTCAAAGTGGATTAAAGACCAATGAATTAGATCAGAAACTCTGTAAATACTAGAAAAAAATGTAAGTTCAACACTCTAACATATTGCCACAGGCACCAACTTCCTTAACTAGACTCCTAAAGCACAAGAAAATAAAACCAAGAATCAATAAATGGGGCAGCATCAAATTAAAAGGCTTCTGCACAGCAAAGGAAATAATATAAAGCATCTAGAGAGAACCTACAGAATGGGATATCTTAGCCACCTACTCCTCAGACAGGGGATTAATATACAAAAATATATGAAGAACTCAAAAACACCAAATAAAACAAATAACCAAATTAATAAATGGGCAAAAGAATTAAACAGACACTTCTCAGAAAGATGAAATATAAATGACCAACAAATATATGAAAAAAACATTCAACACCTCTAGCAATCAGAGAAATGCAAATCAAAACTACTCTGAGATTTCATCTCATTCCAGTTAGAATGGCAATTATTAAGAATACAAATAATAATAAATGTTGATGAGGATATAGGGAAAAGGGTATTCTCATGCATTGTTGGTGGGACTCCAAATTAGTACAACACCTCTGAAAGCAGTCTGGAGAATCCTCAAAAAATTAGAATGGAAACTATATGACCCAGCTATCCTACTCATCAGCATATATCCAAAAGATATAAAATCAGCATACTGTAGAGATGCAGCCACATCAATGTTTATAGCAGCACAATTTCCAATAGCCAAGTTATGGAATCAACCCAGGGGCCCATCACAGATGAATGGATAAAGAAAATGTGGTATATATACACACAATGGAGTTTTACTTAGCCATAAAGAAGAATGAAATTATGACATTTGCTTTCTGCCCATGGACACTGCCGAGAAAGCATCGTTCAAGTCTCTATCCCTGCTGCCATCATGTCTAAATCAGAGTCCCCTAAAGAGCCCGAACAGCTGTGGAAGCTATTCATTGGAGGGCTGAGCTTTGAAACAACTGATGATAGTCTGAGAAGCCACTTTGAGCAATGGAGAACACTCACAGACGGTGTGGTAATGAGAGACCCAAACACCAAGCGTTCCAGAGGCTTTGGGTATGTCACTTATGCCACTGTGGAAGAAGTGGATGCAGCCATGAATGCAAGACCACACAAAGTGGATGGAAGAGTTGTGAAACCAAAGAGAGCTGTCTCAGGAGAAGATTCTCAAAGACCAGGGGCCCACTTAACTGTGAAATAGATCTTTGTTGGTGGCATTAAAGAAGACACTGAAGAATATCACCTACAAGATTATTTTGAACAGTATGGGAAATTGAAGTTATTGAAATCATGACTGACCGAGGCAGTGGAAAGAAAAGGGGCTTTGCTTTTGTAACTTTTGATGACCCTGACTCTATGGATAAGATTGTGATTCAGAAATACCATACTGTGAACGGCCACAACTGTGAAGGGAGGAAAGCCCTGTCAAAGCAAGAGATGGCTAGCGCCTCCTCTAGCCAAAGAGGTCGAAGTGGTTCTGGAAACTTTGGTGGTGGTCGTGGAGGTGGTTTTGGTGGAAATGACAATTTTGGTCATGGAGGGAACTTCAGTGGTCGTGGTGGCTTTGGTGGCAGCCGTGGTGGTGTTGGATATGGTGGCAGCGGGGATGGCTACAATGGATTTGGTAATGATGGAAGCAATTTTGGAGGTGGTGGAAGCTACAATGATTTTGGCAGTTACAACAATCAGTCATCAAATGTTGGACCCATGAAGAGGGGAAATTTTGGAGACAGACGCTCTGGATCTTCTGGTGGTGGGGACCAATACTTTGCCAAACCACGAAACCAAGGTGACCATGGCGCTTCCAACAGCAGCAGTAGCTATGGCAATGGCAGAAGGTTTTAATCCTGCCAGGAAACAAAGCCTAGCAGCAGAGGAGAGCCAGGAAGTGACAGGGAAGCTACAGGTTACAACAGATTTGTGAACTCAGCCCAGCGCAGTGGTGGCAGAGCCAAGCTGCTACAAAGAAGACATGGTTCAGACAATACTCCTGGGTATGGGCAAAAAGACTCGAAGACTGTATTTGTGACTAATTGTATTACAGGTTACTTTAGTTTCTGTTCTGTGGAAAGTATACAAAGGCTTTTAATGTAGACTTTTTTTTTTTGCACCCATGCTTTGATTGCTAAATGTAATAGTCTGATCATGATGCTTTAAAAAAAAAAAAGAAAGAAAGAAATTATGACATTTGCTAGTAAATGGATGGAACTGGAGAACATCATGCGAAGTGAAATAAGCCAGACTCAGGAAGTCAAGGGTCAAATGTTTTCTCTCAGATGTGGGAGCTAGACCAAGGAATGGGGAATGAGGAAAGAAACACCATGAAAATAGAAGAGTGATCAGTGGAGTAGAGGAAGGAGATTGAAGGAAAGGGATTAGGGATGGGAAAAGAGAAGAACAATAGAATGCAATTGACCAAATTAGGCTACGTACATATATGAATATGCCACAGTGAATTTCACCTCTATGTATATCTATAAAGCATTACTTTAAAACAACTATAAATAAACAGAAGGAACACCAGTAGAGGAAAGGGACCAGGGGGAGGGAGGAGGAGAGTGAAAGTGGAAGCACTGGAGACAGAATTGGAGCAAATTGTATTTCAAGCTTTTATAATTATGTCAAAATGAATTCTAATAATATATATATAACGAATGTATAATGAATTCTAATATTATGAATAACTATAATGTACTAATAAAATTTATACACATGCACGTATATACACACACATAATATTGAGATATATTAACTGAGAAATAATTACAAAATTTTCTTCTTTTTGACAGAACCTATATTTTTTCAAAAAGAATATTAGATGAACCAACCTTTTTGTTTTATAATCACATAATGCTTACTTTGAAAAGTTTTTCCCTCCCCAAACCTTTGCTTAATAGACCTTAGGGCATTTAGCTTCTGGGTTCAGGCTTTTCAAACTGGCTTGTAATTTCCTGCTTAATTGAGGTGTTCACTTTCCTGTGTCAAAGTGAAAGCTGAGTATTAAACACATGGTTACCAACGTCTGCCCTGTTCTCGGCTTCTTCACTGAAGAAAAATGTATGAATATTTGTCTCTTAAGTTAAGAAATAAAAATCATGTATGGGTCGAAAGTAAGAGTCATACATATTGATAACTGAGTAAATGGGGATTATTTTATATCATCTGCCCTCCTGAATGAGAATTTTTCTGTCTTACAAGTCCTAACCCTAGTCCAATAATTCCCACAAGTAATACTCATTCAGTTTTGCCATTAGAACAAATTTCTTAAAGCTTAACAAAATGGATTACTTTCTTTGGTTATGTTAAGTGATGTTTTAGTTGGTGATGTAGTTCATTTCCTGTGAAGATTTGATTCTCAGATTCATATGGATTTTAGAGTACTCTCACATGGTTCAGTTCCCACTTTATTTGACTCCTAAAGAATCAAGTGTAGGTCCATCGCTACAGTGGAATTACTTTTTAAAAATCGTGTTTCTTGGGCTGGGGATGTGGCTCAAGAGGTAACACGCTCGCCTGGCATGCGTGCGGCCCAGGTTCGATCCTCAGCACCACATACAAAGATGTTGTGTCCTCCAAAAAACTAAAAAATAAATATTAAAAATTCTCTCTCTCTCTCTCTTTAAAAAAATAATCATGTTTCTTATTTGACGTGCCTTTGAAGTTAAATGATTTGAGTTCTCTTTCAATTACAGGGCTTGGAAGAAACAGTGGGAAAACCTTGTGATCTTCATTTGTGCTTGGTAAGAGCATGTCATTTTTCCAAAATGATGTCTGGTCATTCTTAGAAATGCCCTATGCTATGTCCATTTAGTCAGCACACAGGAGCTCACGGACAGGACACAGCACTCCTAGCAGCATCCTATGTGTAGAAGTCCCAAGAGATTCACAGAAATCATAAAACTTCTAGTTCAAAATTATTGAGATATTTTAAATAGAATTTCAAATTTTCGAATTTGCCTTGGATTTCTTTCTTTCTTTTTTTAAAGTAAATACTTTTTTTTCATGTGCTATTTTCTATGTTACACATATTTGGGATTTACCCATGTTAACTGAAACTTTATGTAGAGTTTCCTAGGAGTAGTCCTTTAGGTTCCCCTCACCCCTTCCTGAGATTCACAAAAGTTTTCGAACACATAGAGTAGGAAGGAATCTTTCAGGAAGTTTGAAACTTGCATAGCCAGAGCCATCCCTGTGTTTGTACAACCGATAATGAGGAGGTAAGGAGGTAGCTGCAGAACTCTTGGCTACAAGGCCAGTCTCTGTTCTCCTAGCAGCCATCAGCAAGGAAACCATTTGCACTGGGACAAAGGAAGAACTCAAGAGTCACTTACATAATAAGAGACTGCAGTCCAGGCAGCATCCAACTAAGAATACGCCATTTTCCTTTTTTCAAAATCTGAAAGAAAAAAAAATTGTTTTTTTTAGTTTAGTCTAATCCACTCCTGCACTGCTGTAGAAAGTATTTTAGAGGCTCAGGATCCTATGTTAGGATACTTTGGCATTGAATAGAATCAACTAAGAAGGAATACAAGTTGCAAAACAACAAAACAACAAAAAATCTTGACAAACCTTAAGGAGACAGAAATTTTAAATAATTAAAGAGAGATGAGGTCTGATGGGAGGAAGTGACTGGTGCTGTGTTCATTGCTGAATCCCTGGCACACTCGGACCCTGCAAGGGCAAAGTGTAAACAGAAGTCAGAAGCACAGAACCTGAACCAACAGAAGAGCAACATCTGGACTGGAATGCTATGTCCTCCTGAGGGAGAATTCACAGTTAACATCAGAACCATACTCCATGTCACCAGCACATTGTTATATATCTACCTTTTTTATTGATTAATTAATTTATTTTAATTAGATATATATGACAGCAGAATGCATTTTGATTCATTGTACACAATTGCAGCACAACTTTTCATTTCTCTGGTTGTACATGAAGTAGCGTCGTACCATATGTGCAGTCATACACATAGATAGGGTAATGATGTCCATGTCATTCCACCATCTTTCATGCCCCCATGGCCCCTGCCCACTCCTCCCTCCCCTTTGCCCCATCAAAGTTCCTCCATTTTTCCCATGCCCCCCCCATTATGGATTAGCATCCCTTATCAGAGAGAACATTTGGCCTTTGTTTTTTTTTGGATTTGGACAATATCATGCTTCACTTCACAACTCCATCCATTTACCTGCAAATGCCATAATTTTATTCTCTTTTAATGCTGGGTAATATTCCATGTGTATATATACCAGTTTCTTTATCCATTCATTTATTGAAGGGCATCTAGGTTGCTTCCACAGTTTAGCTATTGTGAATTGAGCTGCTATAAATATTGATGTGGCTGCGTTATTACAGTATGCTGATTTTAAGACCTTTGGGTATAGACCAAGGAGTGGGATAGTTGGATCAAATGGTGGTTCCATTCCAAGTTTTCTAAGGAATCTCCATACTGCTTTCCAGATTGGTTGTACCAATTTGAAGTCCCACCAGCAACATATGAGTGTGCCTTTTCCCCACATCCTCGCTGACATTTATTGTTGTCTGTATTCTTGATAACTGTTGGTACATAAACCATGTATGATTTGTCCCATTTGGCATTCATCCTTTCTTTTGTTTTAGATTTTTTTTCCCCTCCACTCATACTTTCTTTTCTTGGTACTGGCCATGGAACCCAGAGCCTCACACATGCTAGGCAAATGCTCTACCACTTAGCTACATCCACAGTTGTTTATTTTCAATTTTTTAAATTTTTGAGACAGGCTCTTGCTAAATCACGCAACCTGGCCTCAAGCTTTCAATTCTCCTGCCCCAGCCTCCTGAGTAGCTGGGATTATAGGTACACATTACCACACCCAGTTGGCATTTCTATTTTCTAAATTAACCCTTTTGCACTCCTTATGTAGAATCTTATCTCTTAAGGTATTGACAAGGAAGGATATCGGAAGTAGAAGGACCCAAATGACCTTACAGTTGCCACCTGGTTCCCAGATTAGGTAGCTCAGTCCATAGCTCCTCCTACATTCAACACATTCATGATGATTGATTAGGCCCTTACATGGGTGGGGCAAGTTAACTTTTTCAAGTCCATGTTTGATCCGGCACTACATTTCCTTTGTGTATTAAATAACTAAGCATTCCATATTTTTTTTCTCTCTTCTAGATTAGTGAAGGAGCAGAATGCATTTTTATTCCGAAAAACTTATTTCTAGCAGAAGCCAGCACTGAATTCAGGAGAGCAGTTTTGGAGCTGGTGTGTCCTTACCCCACAGAGGAGGCCATTCAGGAGCACCTGACCACACAGCAAGTGTGGAATGAGTACAAGGACAGACTCCTGGCACAGCACCCGAACACAAGAAGCAGGGCCACTGGCAGAGCTCATTTTTGTTTTTTAAAAATATTAAAAGACATTAAAAAACACAAGTGAAAGTTCATTTCAGTATGCTCGAAGACCTGCCTTTACGGAGATGAGGGCACAGGATATATATATGCAGTGCTGCTCAAAAAGATGATGTCACAGTCTAATTTGCTCAGAACTGTATCTTGGTAACTGTTACACTGGAAAACACAATTGAAACCTGAGAAGTTGTACTGTTATTTTTCATTAAATGATGTGTTCAAGATTTAGTTATCCAAGAGGTTTTAGTTCACATTGGATAGTGTGCTCAATACATTTGTTAGTAATAAAAGCAGGCTAGAAAACTGACTAATATGATTGCAATTAAAAATATGTGTGTGTGTGTGCACATGTGTGTGTTTACCACATACAAAATGGCACAAGAATTTAGCAATGGTAAACTGAATGGAAGTTTTTTTTTTTGTTTTTTATTTTTTTTTTCTTTTGTCAGTACTGGGGATTGAACTCAGGACCACATGTGTACTGGCAGGGACTCTACCATTGGGTTAAATTCCCAGTCTCCAAGTTATGCATTTTTGTGTTTATTTTTTTTCTTTTTTGAGTATTTCTGTCTTTTCAAGAATATTATACTAGCAAATTACTCTTTTAATCAGAAAAATAAAGTCTTAAAAAAATCCTGGTTCGGGGCTGGGATGTGGCTCAAGCGGTAGCGCGCTTGCCTGGAATGCGTGCGGCCCGGGTTCGATCCTCAGCACCACATACAAAGATGTTGTGTCCGCCGATAACTAAAAAATAAATATTAAAAAAAAAATCCTGGTTCTTCTTAGGCTAATGTTTCCATGATATAAACTTGGAAGACTGAAAAATTAACACAGTGAATAAAGAGGGAAATGATCCTGCAGGGAACTTCACATTATATGAAACCTGTGTCTTGTCCTGGGAGAGTTAAAGATGGTACAATGGTTAGATACTTTAGTGGATGTTTGTTCATGCCTCTATCCCAGGTACCTACCTCTAATTTCGGCTCTCAGGCACTCTGGCAGGACAACAGCATCTCGCCCCCAGTGCCCACCCTGAGGGTTCTCCAGGAGAAAAGCTCAAGCAGAGTAAGAATGGGATTGGATGGATAAACGTTCCAGCCTTCCAATCTTTGGTGGAATGTTTCTAAGGTGTTTTCAACACAGTCCCTCAAAGGGTCCAATACTAGTTACCTGTGCTGTGTAATAACTTCAAACAGTGATTTAAAATAACAAACATTTCTTATTTCACAGTTTCTGTGATCAGGAACCAGGGAGCCAGCTGGCTGGGTGGTTTTGCCTCTCACGAGGCTTTCATTAACATGTCAGTGAAGGCTGCTGTCAACTAAAGCCTGATTCAGTCTGGAAGGTCCATGTCCAAGCTCTCTTCTTCCCATCGGCAGGAGGCTTCAACTGAGAAAACTTCGCCTTGCCACATGGACCCCTTTGTAAGGGTCCATCCTATGTGGCTTCCCCAAAATGAGTCAACTGAAAGAAAGAGGGAGACCAGTGCCCCAAATGGAAGCCATAGTCTTTTTTATGACCTAATCTCAGAAGTGACACATCATCATTTCTACGGTGTGCTACTGGTTACACAGACCAATCCTGGTGCAGCACTGGAGGGCGCTACATAGAGGTATGACAATGTGGAGACGGGGATCATGGGGGGATATCTTGGAGGCTGCCTACCACAGGTCTCCTGCAGGAGTAGTCCCAGGTGTCTATGTGAGAGATCAACTGGTCATGCATTCTGGTATTGTCCTTTTCTACTTCCATGTATGCCTCTCCCATTCCCTCATTTCTACTTCCTGACACCCTCACTCCCCCATGACTTCCCTATGTCTCAGTCTGACTTGGGTTCTCATTTCAGAAAAAACAAAAACAAAAACAAAAACAAAACCCTTCAAATAAGTAAGGGAAATCCTGGCCCATCATGCAAAATGTCAATCAGGATCTTCCTTGAATTTTGTTAATTGAAAAATAAGTGGCCACCTACTGCAAATATTCAATGCTTTCATTTGAAATAACTTAAATTTGCAGTAATAATATAAAGAACTTCCATATACCTTTACCCATATTCATCAATTTTTAATATTTTACCACATTTTTTTTCTAATTTAAAATGCTTGCTGAACTTTGAAAGTAGGTTGCATTTATCATGCTCCTTATATTAATCAGGGTTCTTGAAAGAAAGAGAACCACTAGGATGTGTGTATGTGTGTGTGTGTGTGTGTGTGTGTGTGTGTGAGAGAGAGAGAGAGAGAGAGAGAGAGAGAGAGAGAGAGAGTCTGTATGAAAATTTATTATAATAAATCGACTCATATAATTATTAAGGATGCAGAGTCCAAAATCTGCCTTGTGGGTGGCAGGCTGGAAACCTACGAGAATTGATAGTGCAAATGAAGGCTGACTACTGGAGAATTCCCTCTTGCTCAGGGAGGTGGGTCTTTTTGTTTTATTCAGGCCTTCAGTTGATTGGACAAGGCCCACCACTTTATGGAGGGCAGTTTGTTTACTCAAAATTTACCAATTTAAGTATTAATTTCATCCAAAAATATCAGGTTGACACATAAAATTAACATTTACAAATCCACTCTTGTCAACTTGGCACCCATATGCACCTCATTAAATCATATTTTATCTCAAATGAAGACGATGATAAGATCATACTCGTGTCTAACTTGAGACATCCATCCTGTGTAAAACCGAAAGCGCATTAACCCTCTCCCTGGAAGAGGATCCATGGTCCTGGGATGCTGTTTACTTTTCTCTTTGATATCCTGTGGCTTGGGCACTACGACATAAGGTTAATAGTACCTAAGCCATATGACATAATGTCATTATATCTTATGTGCCAAGACTAGTGGATAAGAAAGGAAGAAAATAAAAACATCGTGTATATAAATATAAAATATACACAATAGAAAAAAAGTTTTAAGAATAAAAATACACAAACATATCTATAACAATACATGGAGAAAATGCTCACGACAATTACAGTCCTTGCTTCCATAACTAATCAGGTGGTCATGGCTGATTTTCATATCCACCTTAGACAGTATCATCTGTACTCCCTTGGCCTTCACCAAAACCCTTCAGTTGGTCATGGTTATTTACCTGGTGGGGTGACCCAGACCTTCATTCCTGAGGGGTTTGGGCCATTAAATTACCTGAATTAGGTTGTGGTCATTTTCCACTGACTTAAATATTTTTTGAAATTTTTTTCAATTAACACACAGCTGTACACCTTTATGGGATACAGTGTGATATTTCAGTACATCTGCATCCCAATACCCATTGTCCATCCTCCCCAACACCCCTACCCCTATACCCTTCCTGGACTGTGTTAACCACTCTTCGATTCTCCTCCTCCTCCTCCTCCTCTTCATCCTCCTCCTCCTCTTCTTCTTCTTTTTAATTTATTTTGTAGTTGTAGATGTATAGAATGCCTTTATTTTATTTGTTTCTTTTTATGTGGTGCTGAGAATTGAATCCAGTGTCTCACGCATGCTAGGCAAACACTCTGCCACTGAGCTACAGCCCTAGCCCTATCCACTTCTTTGAGATCAACTTTTTGGTTTCCACATGATAAAGTCAGAATATATGATATTTGTCTTTCTGGGCCTACTTATTCTAGTTACATCCAGGTTGCTGCAAATGATAGAATTTCATCCTTTTTAATGGTTTAATTATATTCCATTATAATTTTACATATATAAAACATTTATAGCATTTATTGTATATATTATATACGAAAACATTTATATAACATAAAAATTCATAAAACATATAAGCATTTTATTTATCCATTTATGGGCACCTATGTTGATTACATATCCTGGCTATTATGAACTATTCTGCAATAAACATACTAAAGCAAATGTAACTTTTGACCTACTGATTTCAGGTCCTTAGGATATACTGTGATGAGTGGATCATTCTAATTTTTTTCTGGAACCTCCATACTGTTTTCCCTAATGGATATTTTAATTAACACTCCCACCAATAGTGTATGAGAAGTCTCTTTTCTCTATATCCTCACTAGCATTTGTCTTTTTGGTATAGCCATATTAATTGAGATGACCTGAAATCTCATCGTGGTTTTCATTAGCATTTCCCTGATATATTAGTCATAATGATAATGTTTCATACACTTGTAGGCTATTGGTATATTGTCTTTTGAGAAATATCTTTTCATGTCATTCACCTTTTTTTTTTAATCAGATTTTTTCTGTTGAGTGTTCTCTATATATTTTAGATATCAATTCCTTCTCAGAGGAATAGCTTCAAAATATTTTCTCCCATTCTGTAAATTGTATCTTCACCCTGTTTATGTTTCCTTTGCTATAAGAAGCTTTTGGTTTGATGTCACCCCATTTGTAAATTTTTGCTTTTTTTGTGTGTTACACCATTAGGATCATATCCAAAATGTCTTTGCTCAGACCAACGTCCTGCAGCAATTTCCCCAGTTTCTTCTAGTAGTTTCATGATTTTAGGTCTTATAGTTATTGACATCTTCAATCCACTTTGAGTTCTATTTTGTATATGATAAGAGATAAGGGTCTAGTTTCTTTCTTCTGCATATGGATATCCAGTTTTACCAGCACCACGTATAGAAGAGACTTTCCTTTCTCTGATGTATGTTCTTGTTCTCTTTGTTGAAAATCAGTTGGCTGTAAATATGTGAATTTATTTCTATATTGTGTTCTATTGATCTATGTGTCAGTTTTTAAGTCAGTATCATACTGTTTTGGTTCTATCAATTTGTAATACATTTTTGCTCAAGATTGTTTTGGCTATTCTGTCTTTTGTGGTTTCATACAAATTTTGGGAGTTTTTTTTTCTTTGAAGAATGTCATTGTTCTTTTGATAGAAATTGCATTGAAACTGAAGATTGTTTTGAGTAATTGACAATATTAATTCTTCTAATCCATGAACATGAAATGTCTTTCCAATTTTTTGTGTCTTCTTCAATTTCTTTCATCAATGTTTGTATTTCTTAACAGATATTAATTTTTATAGTTAAATTTATTCCTTGGTATTTTTGTAGATATTGTGAATGTAATTTCTTTCTTGTTTTCTTTCTCAGAAATTTCTTTATTAATGTATAAGAAAACTACTGATTTTTGCACATTGATTTTGTATCCTGCAAACTTACTGAATCTGTTTATCTGTCCTAACAATTTTTTTTGGTGGAGTCTTTAGGATTGTCTGTACCATAAAAGCATATTTTTTGGAAAAAAAGGATAATTAGACCACCTCCTTTCCTATAGGAATTTCCTTCCTTCCTTCCTTCCTTCCTTCCTTCCTTCCTTTTTTCTTCCTCTTGCTTTATTGCTCAGTCAATATTGAATAAGAGTGGTAAAAGTGGAATCCTTGTCTTATTCCTTAACTTAGAGGGAAAAAAATTCAGCTTTTCCTCATTCAATATAATTTAGGATGAAAAAGAGGATGCCCCTTATTGTATTGAGATACATTCCTTCTATACCAAATTTTTTGAGGGTTTTATTATTATAGTCCTTAAGTGGTAACACATTATCTATTTATTTTTGCATTCTTCTTCTGTCTTTTGTTGCTTTGTCCATCTGACAGGTAAGTTGCCTCTACCAGTATTATAAGGTGAAACTTCAACAGCTGTTTTTAACATCAGTACTATCTGCAGGTGCCTCAGAGGCCTAGACCACAGGCACTGTCATCTGGGATTCAGCTTTCTTAAGTGGAGCAGGTTTTCAGTTAGCTCTGCACATGGTGCACCTGGCACCCATCAATCTTTGAGGGTCATGTTGGATCAGGGCCACCACAGTGGATGGGCAGGAGGGGCTGCCCATCTACTTCTCAGGGCTCTAGGTAAACCAAATCAGTCAGGGAAGGCTGTTTTTCTGCTTCCCAGGGTCATGGGTGGGTGGGTAGGTAGGGCTGCCCATCTGCTTACCAAGTCTTCTGTGGGCTGAACCACTCTGGGCAGGCTGCCTGGCCACTTGCTAGGGATGAGGGTGAGTAGATGGGGCCATCTGGAGGCAGCAGGAAGGTAGGTGGAGCTGTCTGATACTTTCCTGGGGGCTTCAGTAAGCTAATCCATGCAGGATGGGCTTCCTGATTGCTTCCTGTGGGTGTGGAGGTGAAGGTAAGCTGGGCCACTTGGCT